GTTCACTGTACAGTCATCTTCGCCACCAACTCGGTCATTAACGGCACCAGCTTAGAAAAGGAATACGGCTTGGAGACCACATCGTCAAACCCAGCATCTTTTGCAATTTCGATCTGCCCACTCCTCGCGTTGCCAGTCACGGCCACCATGGGTATATGCCGCGCAATCTCACCGCATTTCTCCTTGTCGCGGACATGCTTGACGCATGTGAGGCCGTCCATGATAGGCATTTCCAAATCGCAAAGCACGATCGATATCTGGGGTGAGTCTCCTATTCGATCAAGCGCTTCTTTGCCGTTGTCTGCGGTTATGGTTTTGAAACCTTGACGGCCCAACTGTCTCACCAGGACTGTCTGGTTAATCAGATTGTCTTCTACAACAAGCACCGATAGATTTTGTAATGAGGTCTCGTCATTGGACGATTTGGCTGAAAGAGGAGCAGAGGTGCTGAAGTCCGAAGATTTCTTGTCCGTATGTGGTACAGGAAGAGATGGACGAGGATCCGAAGACCTTGGTGCAAATCCGCGTACATAGAATGCAAACGTGCTGCCTACATCTGGCACAGATTTCAGTCCGATCTCTCCGCCGTGAAGCTCCGAAAGTTCGCGTGAGATGAACAGTCCCAAGCCAGAGCCGCCATATTGGGAATGCGTTTTTGGCGAAGCCTGCCTGAAGCGACCAAAGAGTTTGGAACTTTGCTCTGGGTCCATTCCCGGACCTGTATCCTGTACTTTGAAGAAGACATAACGTCTCTTGTTGTTGGTCCAATCGTCTGATTGTCTCTTGTTGTTCGTCCAATCGTCTGATTGAGGCCGTCGTCGTAGCCCAGAAGGTACAAAGGAGACATCTTCAGGTACAGGTCGAGTTTGTGAGACTGCCACCGTGACTATCAGTTTGCGACGTGATCGACCTTTCAGGAACTTGACTGCGTTTCCGATCAGGTTCATGAGGATTTGTAAAACGCGTCCTGCATCTATCATGACAATTTCTCCCTCCACTGCAGATATAATGGAGACGTCAATGTCCGAAGCTCGTATCTCGCTATTATAGATTTGTACGGCTTGGTTAGCGATTGCGACCGGGCTTGACTCAGATGGTGCCAGAGTCAAAAGATTGCTGTCGAGCTTTGATATTGTCAGGACGTCATCGATGATTGTCTTCTGATGGTTACCGCAGTAAAGAATGGTTTTGACAGCATCTAGACTAGCGGTAGCCTCGTCCTGAGAGATGGCGGTTGAGTTGCGAGAAGTGTGTGGCTCGATCAGTTGTACAGCCTCCTCAGCACATTGAATTATAGCATTGAGAGGGTTGCGCATCTCGTGAGACACCATATCTGCCGAGTGTTATCACAATTCAAGATCGCGGAACCGTAGCTGAACAAGACCAACCCATGAAGTTTTCCTGAGTCCTTTTCGCTTCTATAGCGCCAGCTAATCTTTCGCCTACCTCGCGTTCATGAGCCTTGTGCACAGTCTCGTCGACGATGACTCCAGTGACTGATGCCAGATTGCCGTTCTCGTCAACCTCTGCGAAACAAGTTGAGGAGAGATATCTACAGTCGGAACCACCGACCAACGTTTCGTTGGGCTGTTTCATGACTCTGAATTCAAAGTGAGCATGATTTGTTCCATGATTCGCGAGAAGCATCCACTTCTCGTCGACAAGGTGCAAGTCGTCTGGATGAAGAGTCTGTCGCCACAGTTGATCTCCTCGTGAGCCACTCGGCAGGCTGAATAATCTGTACCAAGTCTCGTTGGCAAACTTGATCTCTCCGTTTGGTCCGAAGATGTATACACCGACCTAAGTAAAGTCAGTGGAGCTCAGATAGGATTTGCAGGGTCATACTGGTGAGTGTTTGGCAAATTCAAGGAAGCGTAGAGCGCTGTCTTCAGCCTCCTTCTTTTTGATTGCCAGCTCTTGAGCTAATCTTTGTTTCTCGAGAAGTGCCTCTTTCCTTTCTTCTGCTAGATGAACGAGTGCCGTAGCGCCGGTGGCAATTTGTTTCGTCATTAGTTGGATGAATGTATTGCATTCATGGTCGTAGGGTCTCAGACTATGGATACCTATGATTATCCAGGCCGCGTGATGCACAGATGAGATGTGAATAGGAACAACCACGACACGGTCTTCGTCGGTGGTGGGTTTCTGATCCTTGAAATGGCCACTCCCAGGCCGCAAAACCTCTTGGTAGCGGACAAGGAGAGCATCTGAACTGCTCATGGATTGTCTGATTGCAAGTGCAATTCCTGAGTCTGACAACAGGTCGATCTCTTCTGCGAAATGCGCCGCGCGCTGGCCCATGGTTCCCTCTAATTTGAGGATATTGTCATCTCGCCCAGGGTGATTCTCGGACCGGTTTTGTGTATCGAGGCTGTCGTGACGGGTGTAAATTGCTGCGAAGGGCACTTCCGAGTCTTCGAAATCGAAAGCTTGAAGAATTGCTGGCCAAAATTGATCCAGACGAATGATCGAGGAAGACACTTCGCCGATTTTGAGCAGATTTGACATTCGGCGCTTGGAGAGAACCTCGCCAGTGACTTCGCGCGGCTCGTTAAGGACTCCCAAGAACTGCCCGGCAGAATCCCAGATGGGTATATGAACGTATGAGAAAAATGTTTCTTCCAGGCTATCGTCAGAACGGATCAATGGTACGGACACATTGCCTTGGCTCACAGCCTTTCTAGTTTCCAACATGGAGCAGAACATTTTTTCGAAATAATCCCAGAACGAATCAAAGGCTACCTTGGCTGAGCGTCCCAAGGCTTGCGGATGTAGGTTTTTTATCAGAGGCGCGAATGCCGGGTTGTAAAGAATGATACGATCTTCTCCCAGATACACACATGCTGGTGAAGGATGAGCCAAGACGAGGGCAACGATGTGCCGGATCTCGGTTGGCCAAGTGCTCAGAGGTCCAAGGTGAGTTTTATCCCATTCAATGTTTTGTAAGAAAGCGTGATGTTCTGGTGTGATTGACTCAGACTTTAACGCCACATCGAAAAGATCCTGTGAGGGTTGTGATGGGGGATCCGACAATGCTCTATTTAGCAAAGTGCACGTGAAAACGCGCCATCGATGCCGAAGAATTGTGAGACTCCAGGTAGTATAGTCATCCTCGAATTTATCGCCACTTCTGGCAGATCGAAGCCAGCCGAGCCACCGATGTTGTAGGCGCAACGAAGTGGATCCTGATTGCGAATTGAGCACAGCGTATTGTGGCGTCTTGTTGTGGCATGATTGATTGACATAGACGATGGTCTGTGGCGTGTTGCTGTCGCCCGATCTTGGCGACGAAGACGTCTCGACAATGAAGGTCGGGCGCTCATCCGTCTCGAGAAAATCGACAAGTCCAAGGTGTGCAAGATCACAGGGCAGGTCGGATTGTAACGAGGCCATTGATCACATGGGCATTGCACGGCTGTGTAGGGGTGCCTTGCTGGCTTTCTGGCTTTGGTGGAGGTTGAGGATCTGGAGATTCAGGAGAGTGTGGCACATTCTCAGTTTGTGGGTCGTGGGCTAGAACACGCAGTGACGCGGGATGACTTCACCCATTAGTTTCCAACGGGAACGCGTCCAGGTTCAAGGTTGGATTTGCCGAAACCTTGGGTAGATTAGCCGATGAAATGAATTTCTCGACTTGGGGTCCTACGGGATTTGGCTGTATGTTGAATTTTGAGACCAGTACGCGCGAAGCCGTAAGTGATCGTTTCTCTGATGGAGCCCGCACGCATCAAGGAGGCTGATATGGCCGTCTGTTTATTCTAACATGGGGCGTGTGACGAGCCTGTGATATTTTGTGCCTGGCAGGATACACAGCACGCATTCAAGGTAATCGTTGTCGCTGATCCAAACAAGCAACAATCGCGCCTTGATGTTTGCTGTTTTTCTTTGTCGTTAAGATGGACGAATCGGCACAGATACGCTTTGTTATTCCCGAAGATTAAGTTGAGCCGCGGCGTGACGGAATTCCTTGTGCCACCAATTTTGCGGAATGATACAGCGGCATTCGCTATATCCATCACCCCACTCTCGAAATGCTCAAAAAGATGGCCTGGCACTCATCGATCATCTGATTGGTCACAAATCGCAGCTGAGAAATTCTACAGAGCTATCGAATGATAATAGATATTATTGACTATTTGCTTTGTGCCTTCATTGTGCGCTTCGGTCTGCACCCCAGAAAACACCTTTTGAAGGCTCTTGGGTATTGTACTTTGAATAGAGAGTCAGGAGACGAGTCGTCGCAGCTTTCACACGGAGGGCGAATCTCAGCTCAGCATTCATCACTCCAGAAGAGGGCGATGAGCCCAATGGTGCAGTACGGCATTGAAGTAAGCCGCATCGCAGCCTTACGGATCGGGGCGATGCCCAGCCGCAACATAAGCTCCCACAGCGATCGGGAATACACTGTGAGGTACGGACCTTGCCGTTCATCAGCTGCATAAGATCCGTCTGACAGGATGAGCCTGATGGTGACAGGCGGAGTTGTGACGCATGCGGCCTGGGTGGGTATGGCGGGGCTAGGCGACCAAAGTGGTGATGACTAGGCCTCCACTCAGGCCTTGAAAGTATACTTACTGCTATGGCGCTGAGCCGGTATGCACTCAATGTCAGACGATTAGTGCGCCGCGAGTGTTGCGGGACTTGTAGGTAATAGAGCCAGTCAACGCTAGGCGAGTAGGCAGGACTAGAAGCCCACCAGGGTCTCGACAAGGGCAAAGAGTGGATGCGAAGCAGCGTTTGAGCCCAGACAGTGAATCTCAAAAATAAAGATGGACTTGTATTGGATATCTCATAAATGATCAACCAGCTTTTCCCGTTCCGCCTGACTTTTTGTGTCACACAGCCGAAAAATGCATCTCTGAACATAAAAGTTCGCCTCCAACATGTTGAAATATCATACAGACTCCTCGCTCCAAAAGTGGTAGTAGTACAAAACATTAGACATGATCTCATAATCGCGCCGCTCGAAAGTAAGAGAAGATCAAGCAATTGTCCCCAAATCAGGCATGCTTCTTTCTCAAACTCAGTCCTCGAAGCCGCTTCTTCACTGGTTCGACCAGCGAGCTGTTGCCGTGATGTGTGTGCGTGGCCAGTGAAAGAGAAGGTGAGGCATTGGGCGATGTGGAGTGGAGCGAGGTGCGCGACTTGTTGGGGGAGTCCGTATTGCTGCTGCTTGCGCTGCTGGTCGATAGCGAGCGCATTCTGGTCTCGCGGAGGACTTCATCGAGCGTGACGCTACTAGCGGAAGCTGATGCGGAGGCGAACAGCGGGGCAGTGGAGGCCGCAGGATTGTCGTCGAGGAGCTCGACAAACTTGGACGACATGTTGTGTATGATTGAAGAAGGATGCGAAGGTGCGCGGGGGAGAATGTGATAAAGTAGAGCGAGGCTGTGTTGTGAGAACTCGCGAGCGCGCAACTGTGGTTCGCGACAAGAGCTGTAAACGATGCGGTGGTTGGTGTTGTGGCTGAAACGTTGGAGGGCGTCCGAAATGCGTTCTAGATGCAAAATCGGCGGACGATGGACAAGTTCGAGCTATTGTGTTCGTGCGAGTTTGTTGCGCAAAAGCGAAAGCCAGGCGGCAGCAAGAGGAAAAAGGGATGAGTGTATATGCCGTCACAGCGGCCCTGGGGAAGGTAGGGAGGTTTAAGGGAGGAGCGCACGTGAGGGACGGAAAGAGCGGAACAACGGGCGGAGGCGGTGACGGTTACTGAAGATAGAGCCAGTGGCGATCAGTCGACGATCCAGGGTCTTCCGATCGTCATTGCTTGTTGGTCGTGCGTCCAAAATAACCCGCCAGCCTCTGTGCGCGCGCGGATGAACAGGGCTCTAAAAGGTATGCGCGCGCCTTGGCGCTGGATATTGTATCATCAGCGCATCCAACAAGCGACAGGTGGCCACCACTCCCCCGTGTGGTGGGTCGGCGACGCAAAAGAACAAAAGGTGTGCATGACGGAGGGCTGCATCCATGCGCAGATTCTGCTCGGCACAGGTTGCAGTACAGTCATGCTCGGGTCAGGGTCAGGGTCCCGCTCAGGGCCTCCAGGGCCTCCAGGGTCTGTCTGGGCTCCTGCCGAACCCGGGGTGCAACGCGGCCCGGAGCGGCGGGAGGGAGCGGAGCAGGGGCGCAGTGTCCAATGCGTGGCAGTTTGCGCCATGACGCCAATGGCTTTGAACCTGTTCGTCGTTTTCTCTTCGGAGACGTGAACCAGCCGCGTGGAAACTCGTGTCCTTTTCGTGGTCTGTACACGTTCTGCGTCACCATTTTTTAGGAGTTTCACATCGCGGGGGCCTTGATCAAGTGCTCTTGACCATTTGCTACAAAGTGACAAGCTGGTCACAACTGCCTAGATCGATCATTCCTTCAACCTATTCATGGCCATCGCCACTATGCCAACAATTTCAATAAGGCTGCCCGGCTGGTCAGAGTCAGCATTTGGTCCAGGCGGCGGCAGATGCGACAGGCTGTGTTCGAGATTCGCGGTTCCTGTAAGAAGAAATGATCGACGCTGTCTTCGTAACACAACACCGCAGCAATAGGCTCCGAAGCTCGGCGGGATGCGCAGCTTGGTTGGCTGTGCTTGATATTGTTGCGCGGAGGTCAAGTCGTCATGTACTGTTCGGCCCGATCTACGTTAGGGCAACCCGCTGTCACTTCTGAACGAATTTCGGGCGCTCGTGTCGGCTTTCCATATCAATTCCAGACCCTAATGGTATACGGTCTCTTTCTGGGGTATGAACAACCGTGCGAAAATTTCTATCTTTCAAGCTCGACAAGTAAATACTGGTCACGACTCGAAATCCCGAGAGGCACTCGCTGGCTCTTGCCAACTGTCCCGTTTCGATGCGCTTGAGTCGAGGTTTGTCCGAAAAGGGCTTCGCTATGATCTCCAACAGTGTTCAGTTGCGACTCCGGACCGATGACCATGATTGATGCAAAAGTCGCTGATCTATCTGCTCACCGTCTCGCCCCTCTGCCTGAGTGGCCTCGACCACGACCCCATCCTCTCCCTCGTCCCCCTCCTCCTCCTCTCCCACCACCGAAACCCCTTCGGCTTCCGCCGCCGCCGCCGTCTGACCGATTCGTTTGTTTCGGGCCATTGCGCATCCTGGCATCTCTCTCTTCCTCCGAAATGTCAAACGGATTGGAGATGTCAAGCAACTCGCAGAACGCTTTAGTCTGGTTGTTGGTGTATTCTCGGGGCATCTTGACCTGCACAATCCCTCTCCTTTCGTCATACGCTGGTGCAGTCGCTTCAAAGTTTTCCGGGATGACCATTTTGTCAGCTTTGACAACGTATTGCTCTACCCAATCTTTTTCGGCATCAATCAATGGCCGATAAAATGCCTCACCTCGATCCTTGGGCACTGATAATGATTCGTCCCCGTCCCCAAGAGTGAGGTCGGATGCGAAGACACGGCAGATGGCCAGCCACTCCTTGTCATACTCGAGTTTGACCGGCCGACTGATCTCTGATTGGTTCTGAACGTCCGGTGGGATTGACATGAGTTGCAGAAAGTGACGGTGTGGGAGACATTTGTCCAAGGCGAGAAATTTAGTTGTCGTGTTTGTGATGTCCTCTGGAAATGGTAAGGATTTTGGGGGTGGTGTTTTCGTTCGCGTGAATGCAGCGGGGAGCTGTGCTCGTAAACTATCCGACACTTGCGTTTGGTCCTTTTGGGGAACTCTATCTTCCGATATTGGCTCTGGCGCACCATTCATCCCTGTCGGCGCCTCGATTGGTAAAGCCGCGTCGTCGTCCTCTATGTCCAGGTCAATCTCGTCGTTATTTGGATATTGCTGTGGATTGTTCTGTGCGCGAGTGTCTGGTTCATCATCCATGTCCAGGTCGATCTCGTCATTGTTCTTCAATTTCTCCGATATGGGCAGATTGGCAGCTTCGGCGACGCCGTTCTGGGCATCTTTCTCGCTCTTGTGGTGCACGACTGCAGAGTACTTTACGTGCAGATGTGCGCTGAACCAATATCGCGGACGCAGCCTGTCCAACACATATCTCGCCGCTTTGTTCCCCAGATTACCCGATCTTGCATCTTGCTCGAAGAGATCTTTCTGCTTGAAAAGCTTTTCATAGTTCCCCTCCCACTCGACACCATTGGGCCAATCGTGGCTCATGCCGACGTCGACCTGGGTTCGGACATTCAGCAGCTTTCTGATGTCCAGCTCTCGGGTGTGGTAGATGGATTTGACCTCATCCTGATTGTAGGGCAGCCGTTCGAAGTGGTGCTTACGGTAGTCGTATCCTTTCCAAATGCCGCTCATTCCTGCGATCCTTATGGGTCCGGCCCGCAAGACATTTGCTGCACCCATGTAGTAGATGTTGGGAGCGACCCATCCTCCGTAGTACAGCTCGAACAAGTAATTTGAAGCTTCGTGATTGCCGCCAACGAATACGGTCAAGTAGGGTGCTTTGCGTTGGCCGGAGTAGTATTCATGGAAGTCTTGCATGGACCGGTATTTCGGTGGGATAGACACGCAAGCTAGGTCGTCTGCATTGCGGACTGCCTGATTGTGTTAGACGATTGCAAGTTGATGAAGCCCGAGAAGAACGATCACCTGGAAGTCGCCGCCAATAATGACCAGGTCCACTCCCGGCCATCCTGCCTCCTCACAAGCCTTGTCAATGGATGCGTAGATTGAATGAAGCACTCCATGACCCTGGAAGATGTTAGCGTCAAGCAGGTCGATACAAAGGTGTAGCAACTGACACAACCCTCGACTGCAATGCGCAACCCCTCGGCCTGGACCAGCTCCGTCGCACTCATTTTTGCAAGACTCTGCGACTATGTCCGAGATGAAGTCCAGAAGCTGAGGCGCATGGCGCAGTGAGCGGACGAAGGTCGCAAAAAAGCTGCGGCTTCAGTTCCGCGATTTGGAGAAGTCGCGATGTGCCCCGCACCACCAGGAACAAATCACGATCCACAATATGAACCACAGAAGACGGGATGGTGGAGCGTGAGGGTCAATTACTCTCGTTGAATGAAATCTATTTCCCTCACTCGACCCTGAAGACCTCCTCAAGATCCATCCACCAGGGCAGTTCGCCTGTGCTGCCTGTCGCACCTTCGTTGAAGCTTTCCTGGAACGAGTCCATGATCTTCCACCATCGCTGGACTTCGGGATTCTCCTTCATGCGACGCATATCCGCTTCCCAGTCGGATCCAACATATTTCATTGAAGCGAATAGCGTCATTGTCCTCTCGTTCAGGAAAATGCTGTAGTCGATGATGTTGCTGTCCCTGATCTGGGCCAGCACCTCCGGCCACGCCTTGCGATGGTATTCTTTGTATTCAGCAAGCGCGGACCGCTTTAGGCGGATGATTTGTCCGATTCTTCGCGGCGAGGATTGGACAGCTGACATGATGATAGTGCTCACGGGATGGTAAGCTGATGCGGACTGAGGATGAGTCGGGCTCATCATACACGACCAACCACGACGGAGAGGAAGGAAATGCGCCGTTGTGGGGAGCACCGCGCCCCTGCCCCGTCCAGCAAATGCTCGTCAGACGAGTTCCTGGTTGTAACACTACAGCTACCGTCACATCCGGTACTTTTCCAGATTCCACAAATCCATTTCCAAATGCGCACAATGACAGGTCAGTCCGATTAATCACAAAGCAGCCGTATCATCACTGCGGAGAAGCTTGATCATACCGACATGTGAATGTGGTTCACGGCCCCCTCGTAAAGCAAAGCATTCGAGCTGCTAGGTGTGACACCACTCGGCTTTGAACTGCTGTGACCTGTGAAGGAGGGGCTCCAAAATTATACGCAAAACAAATAATCAACTTCTAGATTGGCGGACCTGCACGGAGCACTCGACGACGTACCTTATTCCTCCCTTGGCTCTCTTTCTCTTCGACTCAGCCCAATCACCTGCTATATCCGGCCCTTGTGGCGACCATGCATGCCGTTTATTGCTCATTAGCCGAAGTCATGCTGATCTATCTGCAGCGTTGCACGACCCTCGAGCCAATTGCTCTTTGGCTCGCAGAGCCGCCGATCCCGTTCGGCCACCCCAGCCAGTCATGTCAGCACACCCATGGTCTACGGCGACTCCCCGCGATGCCATCAACAACCAAGATTGGTCCACTATCCAAGAAACCCCAATCCTCGCCTGTGGTTCGCCATTTTATCTCCGATGCATCTCATCATGTACCTCGTGCCCCTGCGCGTGGCTGTTCCCTGTTCGGCCCGTCTGCGTGATCTGCTCTACCGCTGCTGGTTCGCTTCACCTCGTTTGAGGGATCAGCTGCAGACCACCAGTGCAGTGTATGAGAGGTAAGCCAACAATCAGAGTGCATAAAGCCAGTCTCCTCCCTCGCGACCTCAATCTTTGCCCGTCGCACTCCTCCGACACCCGTCCTTTCGCTTACGAGAGACCCATCCGGGTCAATCATTGTACATAACCATGAGATTCAGCATCCAAGCCGCTTCCTTGGCCATTCTCTCTCTCTTGCCAGTCGCGCTCTCGCAGCAGGTCTGCAATGGCAACGCTGCTCTTTGCTCACGATCCTACTCTAACGTCTCCTTCGTTGGCACCCACGACAGCGCGTTCAATGGCAACGGACCAGCCGACAATCAAGACGTCGGTGTGGCAACTCAGCTAAATGCCGGTATCCGCTTTCTCCAAGCGCAGGTCCACGATTGGTTTGGCACGCTCACCATGTGTCACACTAATTGCCT